GCATTTGCATCTTGATGTTTATGGGTACAGGCGTAGGGTAAAAAGGGCATATTATATTGTGCAAAGTATGAAAGAAAGAAAGAAGGAAGCATCTCCGACCCCCATAATGTATAAATATATGGATCAGCATGACGAGAGAACGCGATCTAGACGTGTCCTTTTGTCTGTCCGTTTTTCCATCCGTCTGTCCGTCCGTCTGTCCGTCCGTCTGGATGAACGCAAGGATCTCAGAAACTATAAAAGCTAGAATAACCAAAGTTGGCATCCAGATTCTCCTAGGTCCGAGAAAGGACGAGTTTATTTTATTTTTGGGAATTTTCCCCCTTCCCCCGCTACAGAATTTCGTCAATAGCGTCCACATTTGAAATGCTACCTAAACCAAACTTTGCACACATCATATATATATATAATTATCTACTGTTGTTTAAATTTGATTGAATTCTGTCAATTCTAGAAAAGTTATTAGCGAAACAAATTCTCGCCAGTACAACCCCCACAAACTACAGCAACAAGTTCGCTCTTCTTCTTCCTCTTTTTGCTGCTGCTATGGGCGCATATAACTCAGTGACGGAAGTTTACCTGGGTACAGGGTATTACACTGTCGGGCTTGCTCGACTGTAGCGTTCTCTCTTGTTCTTTTTTAGGATGTGGTGGCTAGTTTTGAAAATTATTCTGCTTGCAGGAAGAATACATTTCATTGATCAGTGCAAAATTTGAAACTCTAAGACTAGAGACTTCTTAAATAAAATTTTCGAAAACTTTTTGGAATATGTACAGGGTTTTTAAAATTTGAGCACTAACGTGTCCTAGTATTTTACTATTATATTTATATCCTAAAAAATTTGAATTTTGGCAAAAAATAAAAAATATGAGTTGGGACCATTACTAAATAGTAAGAGCTGTGCAGGATAAGGCACAAGAGTATTACTAGATGCTGTGAATACTGCTCGACTTGTCTGAACAAACCAACTTGCGGACAAAGTTGTGCTGGACTGGTGTCAGTTTGCCAACACTTTAATGCCGCTTGTTGCAAGTGTGGTAATGCGTCGAAAGTTCATATGGCATGTGGCCAAGCTATTTCAGCTGCGGTCAGTCGTAGGCGACTGTGAGGCAACAAGTGCTCGGAAACAGTTGCGGCTTGCGTTGACTTAATTATTCGTTATGGGAAAGCTGCCGAAACGGACATTTACAAATTACCAAACGCAGTGCAATATTTGCGCGCAAATTTGTGGCGTTCGTCGCCGGCGCATAACTCATGGCTAGGTTATTACCTTAATGTATTCGTTTGTTATCCGTAACCAAGTGCTGCGCGCCGGAAGCTGCATAAACCGCACCGTATGCAATCCAAGTTTTGACAAATGGTTGCTGTTTGTCTCCGTTGAGGTTGGAGGTGTGATGTGGTGTGGTGTGTTCTGCACCTGGAAAATATACATACGAGTATGTTGTCATAATACATTATCACTGAAATGAAAAGTGGTCCAAGTTGTTTGAATTTTACTTGCGTGCCACTTATTAATAGGCGGAGGAAGTTTACAGAACTGCACTTCTTTAATGCAAGGGCTGTACCACTTTGCGGATAATCGCGTTACTAATGTTTAAAATATCACTATTTATCGCAAATCTAGTTACGAGGATGTATATTTGAAATTTAGCTAAGCTGCAGATAATACTTAGTATCAATAATAATATCAATAAATTAGTAACACAAACTAAAAAAATAAAATGATAAATAATACAAATGGTAATATTATAATAACAATAATAATTAATGCTAAGGCAAATAGTAAAAATTATTAATTGTAATATTTAACGTAAAAAAAACTAAATTAAATTTGTAATTAAATTATGCTAATACTTAATAAGTAATTTAAAATAATTTATAATTAACTGAATTAAATTGAAATGAAATGAAGTCGGTCTGATGTGTGTTGGAGGTAAAAGGAGGGCGAAGTGATGCCTATATGGTACGTGCACAAGGAAGTAAGTCCTTCGACTGCGCTATATGTGTTGTAAGTACGGTGGTTCCAAGTACGGTTAAGGTCGGGTGGTAAATTTTTTCGAGTGCTGGAGAAGTAGGGAGGAAGTAGGTTGATCATTTGTAGTACACTTTAACACTAAGAATATAACACGAAATCTAATTGGGTAACTTTTTTGGTGTATGATTACAGTTACTGTACTGCTACTGATTGATCCTTATAGAGTTCCATGAGTGCGCAGTTTACATAGAAACATCTGGTCCCACAGTAAAAAGCCTGAGTATATTCGGTCTTGCCCTTTTGTTGTTGAACAAATACTAATTACTCCTTGTTAGACATGTTTGATAGTAATGCTTATGTACATAATATAACGTATTTTCACATATTGTTTGTAGCTATGTATTATCTGGTAGACTAATTACCTTAAGCGTGGTTTCGGCTATGTCGTGCCGAAAAGGAGAGCCGAAGTGTAAAAAGTAAAGGCCAAATGTAAATACATATGTATGTACATTGCAGGCAGAATGAAGCATCTTCCACACCATGAAGTTTATATTCTTTGTTAGCATAACGAGACAAATCAATCTAGTCATATCAAGAGTCCCTTTGAAGAATGCAATTATCGATGCACGGAAAGCGTTATTTGGACGAAGAAGCCACCCAAAAGACTTGAGCCGATATTTTGAAGGACATCTGCGCCAAATAGTCAGACATGTTTTTAGAACCCGCAAATCACTCTATGCAGCCCGAAGGGGATTATTTAAAATAAAAAATTGATTTGCTTTCCTATTTTAAAGTCCTGTTTACATTAGAGCTCTCCTTGTATACACACGGAAATCACATTCGCGGTCGAATAAACACGGTCTTAAACTAAAACGAAGGCAAAAAACAAAGCAATACGAAGAGTTCACAAGGAAACAACATTAAAATAGTAGCTACAGCGGGGCAAAAAGCAATGAACTGACAACTGCACCCAAGTTCGCCAAAGTTGTGCTCAGAAATCAAAGAAACTTTATTACTCTCTCCTGCTCTCCTGTTCACACCTTTTAAGCTACTTTTTCTCTTTAACAAACTCACAGCCAACACGACGAGCTGACTTTTATGTGCACTACAAGACCTTGCCAACCAAATCATGGGCTTAATGTATGTATGTATATCAGAGCTACCAAGGCTGTAAACCTACGTTTACAACATCAACAAAAGGTGTAATAAAAACAACATCAACTTTAGCATCAGAGTGAAGTGCAGGAAAGGAAGCCTATTCAGCGTGATAGCTTTAAACTAATACTACTAGTTTGCGTTTAAACAGGGAAATTGGCAGCGATTCGTCTAGTCAAGGTGTTCATTTATGAATACCCAAACAACAAGTGTTCTCGTTCAAAGCCAAGCGCATCCTTACTTGTACTGAATAGACATATTTTAATACCCTGTACCCAAAGCGTAAGGGGGAATACTAAGTAGTTAAGTGCGATTGTATTTAACACATAGAAGTCCTGGAAATTCCATAAAGCTAGTACAACCAAACATGCTATCCAGACTCTCCAAATTCCTGGAAAGGACAAGTTTCTGATGCACTTCTACTGCGTGCAGATAAGAGGCATCTGTGGCTGTGTACTGAGTTTTGGAAAATCACTTATAGAAGGGGAGTGGTGGAGGGGCACAAAAAAATTAAATAAAATTTTACAGTATACACATACGAGTATATGGCAGCACTGTGCGAAATTTGGTGTGTCTAGCTGTTACAGTTTTTATACTCTGTACATGAAATGTACAGAAGTATATTAGGTTTGCGGGAGCTGAAAAATGTAACAGGCAGAAGGAGGCGTGGCAGACCCCACAAAGTATATATATTCTTGATCAGCATGACGAGACGAGTCGATCTAGCCCTGTCTGTCTGTCTGTCCGTCTGTCCGTCTGTCAGTCTGTCCGTCTGTCCGTCCGTATGAACACCTGGATCTCAGAGACTATAAGAGATAGAGACACCAAATTTTGCACAAAGATGCGTTATGTGTGTATTCTATACGAGTTTGTTTTATTTTTTTGATTTTCCCCCCCACTTCCCCCCTATGGGGGTTTTCTCGATTTTCCATTCGTATAATCGCCTATATCTCGGAGACTATAAGACCTAGGAACACCAAATTTTAGTCCCAGATGCCTTATGTGAATACGCAGAAAATATATATTTTGGAATTTCCCTCCCTCCCCCCTCTACCCAGCAAATCGTAACTCCCGTAATTCTTGGAATTTCGAACTAAAATTTTGTAAATACCCTTAGTTGGTTATTATATGTCTGTATACCAAGTTTCACTATGATAGACCGATTTAACGAGAAGTTATAGCCATAAATATATTTGCTGCTGCAGCGCTGCCCGCGGCTGTTGTTGATGTTGCTGTTTGGTTGACTGCGAAAATGCTTACACAGACACGAATAGATGCGCATAGGCATACATACACTCACACAGACGCAATTGCTATGTAAATGTGCAATTATACAACCTTTACGTGAGTTCGAATACCGAGAAAGGTAAAATCGATCATTGAATTTTTTTTATTTGCTTAATTTTTTTATTTTCTATAATTATTGTAAACATACGTACAGAGTATTTCAAAGTCGGGACACCCGACTTTAGCTTTTTTACTTGTTTTAATAATAGACTTTCAGATCTAAGTCTATAGACTTAAGCATGTCTCAACTCCTTAAATACCACAACTAAGCTTGCTTTAAGCGAAATTATAATATATGAAGCTTGGAAACTCTTAAATACCCTGTACCCATCCCACAAAACCAGAATTTTTCCAATTTTTGTAAAAGAAAACTAATTAAATAAAATTAATAAAAGTAAAGTAAAGTTGTAAAAGTTGTGTCTGCGTGCCTGAGAGCAGAGCATGGGGAGAGATTACACTTATGGCTATAAGTTCGTTTACATTTGAACTGTCGTGATGAAACTTAACGCAAGCTACTAAGCCAGTCTAAATGTGGACAGACGTCTGGGTAGAAGCTGCAGTCGAGAACAGCCACACGCACACTTAATTAAAAAACTTATGTTGTTTTGTTTATTAGTCCGCCATAAACCCATTTATAAATGCACGACAACTTTACCTACAACTGGGGGGTTAGTGACTGACGGCCTTCGTGGGCTTCGGCTGAGTGGTAGAACAGGAAGCCGTGCTTCACCGCCTTTCGATAAGCTGCCATTGGACCCCAGGATCCAAGGGCATACGGAATGGGCTTAATACGGTCCGCTTCCAGTGCACTTAGAAGAGGCGAGAAGATACGCCAGATCTCGCACTGCTCGTCTGAACGCATGAACAGCATTTGTGACCCTTCGAGCACGTCCAATAGCAGACTGTGGAAATTTTGGGGCACACAAATACGCGGATCCCTCAATGTTAAGTTCAAGTTGGACTCCTGCAGGCACAGTTTTTCCCCCGGCTTTTTGAGCATAACACGCATAAAAACATGCTCCTTGGGTGCCAGACACATAACGAGTTCATTGCGCTTAGTTTCCATGCCCTCCAAGATCTCACACTCCATCGCCTTGTACTGCACCCTCACCTCTACCTTGCTTTCGTTGAGCGCCTTGCCTGCCCGCAAAATGAAGGGCACTCCCGACCAGCGCTTATTATTGATGCGCAGCACCACCATCGCATAGGTGGGCGTAATGGAATTTTTGGGTATATAGTGATGCTCTAAGTAGCCCACCTTAAACAGATCGCTCTCCCGCCCATTATTAACATATTGCCCCACAATCACGTCGCTCAAATCCGGCGAGACTACGTCCTTAAGCACTTTCAGCTTCTCCTCACGCACACCTTCCACGTCGCCGGTGTACGGCGGCTCCATGGCTATCAGGGCGAGCAACTGCATCATGTGGTTCGTCATAACGTCTCGTATGATGCCGTAGCTGTCAAAGTAGTCGGGACGTGCCACAACTGGCTTGTCGCACTTGACGCTGATCATAATTGCGGCTATATGGCGATTGTCCCACGTATCTCCCCACAAACAATTCGAAAATCGCAGAGCCATCATATCCTGAACCATCTGCTTGCCAAGGTAGTGATCGATCATGTAGATTTGAGACTCCTTGAAGCACTGGCAGAGCTGTGTCTGGTAGGGCTTGAAGGTAATGTCGTTCCTGGCAAATGGTTTCTCCACAACAATGCGATTCCATCCCGTGTTGGAGACGCACTTTCGACTGATGTTCAGTGTGACCGCATCAAACACTATGGGAGGCAGGGCCAAATAGAACACCCGATTGGCCAATGTCATATTGTGTTTGGTTTCATAAGCACTCATGGTCTCATTCAGCGTTATGTAGTCCTGTGTTTGGTCGTACTGTCCTTGCACGCAGTGCACGTTCGTCCAAAAACTGTTGTACTTCTTCGGATCGCGGTCCCTGTCCAGATGCATGTAAGGCACACACCAGATGCGGAACTCGGAGGTGTGCATCATAGTGCGGCTGAAGGTGTATATTTGCGTGAACTGTGGCAAGCGATTATCTCGATAGAGCGCCCACAGTGCTGGAAAGATTTTCCTCTTTGCCAATTTGCCCGAAGCGCCAAACACGACAAAGGAATGGGCTGTTTCGTTTTGCAAATCGAGAGGTTGCATGGTGCGGCTTAATTTTGGAAAAGCTTACCGAAAAAAGTGAGGAATTTTGAAAATAAATGGAACGGTTGCCATGAGTTGTACGTTTCATGCATAAGCAAGAGAGACGCTACAGTCCAGCAAGCCCGACAGTGAAATACCCTGCGCCCAGACAAGCTTCCGGCACTGAACTATATGCGCCCATAGAAGAAGCAAAATGAAGAAGAAGAAGAAGAAGAGCGAACTTGATGCTGCAACTTGAGGGCGTCGTATTGGAGTGAAAGTATTTCGCTAATAATATTTCTTGGAATTGACAGATTTAGATGAAATTTGAAATAATAGATAATTGTATATAAATGACGTGTGCTAAGATTGGTTTATAAAGCTTTTGAAATGTGTCAGTATTGACGAAATTTTGTAGCGAGCAAGGGGGAGGAAAATCAAAAAAATAAAATAAAACTCGTGTAGCCTAAGGACTCGGAGCGTCTACATACCAAGTTTGGTTAATGTGCGCTCAGCCGTTTCCGGAATCCAGGCGTTCATCCAGACTGACGGACAAACAGACAAACGTACATGTCTACATCGATTTCTCTCGTCACGCTGATCAAGAATATACATACTTTATGATCGCGGAGATGCTTCCTTCTGCCTGTTACATGCTTTGCACAAATCTAATATACCCTTTTTACCCTATACCCTGGCTATATATTAGTGTCATATAGGTTTACTTTACTTTTGTGTTCAGTAGAGTTAAACTTAAACAACAACAACAGCAGCTACTGGCTATAATTTCCATTTCGATCGAACTGGGCATAAGGACCCATGTCGGGAGTAATAATAAAACAGTGGGATGCAAGGCAGCCTCTCGAGTTACAAAGCTACCAAGCCAGAATCATCAAACACTTGTTGAGCACGCAAGCAACTCGTACAATAAAACAAAACATATTTGAAATCAATTTCCTATTTGTCCTAACATGCTCTGCTGTCCCACAGAATATACTGTTGAATATGCTTGTATTAGGCTTATGCCGTTTGCTTACGCAAGGATAAGCAAATGAACTGTCATAAGCTGAAGGATCATGTGGCAACTTATGCTATTATTAAACGTTCGGAGGTTTTGGGGTTTTGGGACCGAGACAAAGGTCTGCCTAATGCGATGGGCACCAACACGTAAAGTTCAACAATAAATTCATTAATGTTATGATAATGAAAAGTACACTTTATTTTTGGCAAGTGACCCGGCAAGACAGGACAAACTGGCAAGGCAATGAATATGGCTAATTATAAAGGAGGCGGCTGCGTGGCGTTAAGGGAAGCTGTTTATCTAACGTGCCACTTATCCCTACGCCTTCCACCATCCTGCTAATTAATTTCTTTAATAATTCATGGCGAACTGCCTGCTATTCCGTAAGGGTTGGGCCGGCCCAAGTGTGACGTAACAATTGAGCGACGCCGGTTTTTAAGTTGGAACTTTGGTTAAGTCAGCAGTGTTCCTGGCCTTTGGCATGCATGTTGTACTATAAGCCTAAAGATATTAAAGCGCTTATGTATGCAGCCTAATAGGCACATAATTATACCGAAATATGCAATAAATTGATCAGAGTGTAAGGACGGCCGAAATGTTGACCTATTTAATTAGGCAATAGAATAACAATTAAAGTTTTTGGTTGATTAGTTTTTATTATTAGTGCCGAATGAGCCATGGCATTGTTTGAGCACAACATACTAATCAGCTGATTTCGAGTGTGTACTTAAAGGACAACTTCAGAACCAATACTCGGCTTAAAATATATGTGAATTATATAGGGATAACTGTGATATGCTTTCAATACTTTTATCCTGACATGATATTTATAAACTTTTATATCGGTACTTTGTATTGTTGAGGAAGCCTTTTGCATCAGTATATACTGCACGCAGAGGATAAGAAGTTATACTATTCTGGTCTCTTAACGTTTGTAACTTACAAATAGAGGACTATGAATGCAGATTTGTATCGGAATTGTTTTGTTACCCAGCTTTTGCCAACGGAAGGGCCAAAATAATTAAAATTTTGATTGAATATTGATCGATAAAAAACCTCAACAAATCCAATTTAGTTCAATTTTAAGGCGAAATATGCGCCATAATACTGATTGTGTAGTCGACTTCATATTGCAAATGCGTACACCCTTGTATGTATGTATGTCGATGCGTCGCTGTATGTGAGTATTTGTGCTATACAGAGTTCAGCGAAATCAGCAACAACAACAGATGGGGGCACAGCTTGGGCATTAATTGCTATACCTTTCTTTAAATTGACATCTCGAAAATTTGAGTTCAAAAGTCAAGATATACTATATATGGGAGGTAGGGAAAGGGAACATTTTAAAATCTCCAGCTCTTATAGCCTGTGAAATCTATGTGCTCATATGGAGGGTCGGAGAAAGAGAAAGACAGGCTAAATCGAATCGTCTTGTCATGCTGATCCAGAATATGTACACTTTGCTATGCCTCGTTATGTCTGTTCCACTTCCCCTTTTGGCTACACAGAATACAAATAATTGTCATAAAAATGCTTTGCGTTATTTAAATGTCGATTTGCATCTTACGACAGAAACAAGAACTAAGATAACTAAAAGCATTTATACTATACTAGCAGGTATTGCCCGTCTTAACCCGGCTGAATATAATGTTTCCAATTGTATTTATTTTGTGTGTGCATAACCTACCCATATGTTTTCACCTTAAAGGTTACCAGTAGGAAGGCATTTAAGGTATTTAAATGAACATTTTGTGTTCTTGACAAAAAATTATATTTTTTAAAGCTCGTTTTCCCCCCTTTCTTAGTGTCATCAAAATATCGAAGTTTGAATGCAATAAGCAGAATATTTAAAAAATAAAATCGAATTATTTATAGAGATCAATAAGAACAAATCATATACATACATACATCTGCCCGCAATGCGAAGCAGAATATGCGTAGCTCCGATATTCGGTTTCTGCTTTACTATCGCTTACGCAGTCGTTGCCTAGCGACGGTAACTGTAAACTTTTGGCGTTTTGCTTTTGAAATTAACATTAAATGGTCAAAATGAAAGAAGAGCGAGCTAATGACTTGCAGTTGTTGTTGTTTTTAGAGCATTATTTTATTTACAATCAAACAACTGTGTTCGATTGCCCAATGTATACATACATTAATACGAATGCGAATGAATACATATGTATGTATGTTTCTCTTTACTTTTTCAACCGTACGTAGAGAACCGCACACATAGACACGAACTGTTGCTTGTTGTGTGTGTGAGTGTGTGTATGTGATGTCCCCAACTATTTGATATTTGTTGTTCCTGCATAAAGCTATTAATGAAAACCCTAATGCCAAATGCACTAAACAAAGACAAAATTACTTTTAAAAATGTTATATAATTTTCAATTAATTAACATTTCTTGCTCTGTCAGTGCAAGACGAATGAACATACATACATACATAGATATGCACATGTACATAGATGTGTACATATGTATGTGTGTACATTCACACATTAGTGTCTCACATTTTGCTTTGGCTATTTCAATCGTTTGCACGCAACTACACGAACAGCTGCTTGTATGTGTGTGTGTGTGTATGTATACCTAGTTGTCCCCAAATATTTGATATTTTGTATTGTTTGTTCTGCCTGCATTTGTAAAATGCATATTTTGAAAATCCTTGAATGCAGAGTTGTAGATTTAGTTACGTAGATTACAGTCCCCAAATTTGAAATCGGTCGGAAAAAATTTATAACATAACTTTTCATTTGAAAAGGTGAATTAATATTAAAACCCCAATAATTCAAGCTCCACCACAAATTGCGATCCCAGTATGCAGTTTTGTTTGTATTCTTTTATAGATTATAAAAATCAAATTTAGAGTTGATTGGTAGAAAACTGTAGATTTTTCAAACAAACTTTGGAGCTCGTTTTCCCCCCTTTCGAGCTCGAATTTTCAAAAATCCCTTCTTAGTGCGAACCTACACTATGATAGAATACTTGACCCCAAATTTCAACTTTGTAGCTCTTACCGTTTGGGCTGTGGGCTGTTGACGCGGTTTCCTTTTGTGCCCCAAAAAAGCCCCAATAATTCAGTCTCCAAGAAAATATTCAAAAAACCAAGTATACAACTTTCTTTGTATTCTTTTACTAAACCAAGTTTTAAGTCTATCGGTTGAAAAATGAGGATTTATCAAACAAAATTTGGAGTTCGTTTTCCCCCCTTTGGAGCTAGAATTTTCCAAAATCCCTTCTCAGTGCGCACGCTATGATAGGATACTTGAGCCCAAATTTCAGCTTCCTAGCTTTTACTGTTTGGGCTGTGCGTTGATCACCAATCAGTCAGTCAGTCAGTCAGGACAAACTGTTTTATATATATAGATACTTATACCAGAAAAACATCAACCTTATTCGTCTATCTTTAGCATTTCTAGTTCAGTGCATCGGCGGCACAAGGGCGGACATTTTTTCACAGTAGGGATGGGCGATGCTAGAATTTTCCAATAACCAGCGTGGGAATAACAATTCATGACGACTTAAAGAAACCATTCTTAGTAGTAGTTATTCCTTACTGTTACTTGATAGTAATTCCTTTCAAAAAAATCAATAAATACAAGTACAACACATAAGCTTATAAGTGATAATAAATAGGTAAGTTTACATGTTTTCGGTTCATACTAAACTTCTTGTTTTCTTCTTTTAACAACCACTTTTAGCTTTTTCAAAAAAAAATATAATAATAATAAATAACTCAAAATCACTCAATCTCTGAACATAGCTGCATAACATCATGACTCCATAGCATCTTGACTCAAAATGCACCTAAAATAAACGAAATGAAAAGAGGTCGTTTTGAATACCTTCTGTAAAGGGATTTAAAACAACATCCCAAGCCACGAAATGAAACCGGACCAATTTGTGACTCATCGCCAATAGCAAATGGATACTTTGAAAACAACCAACTGCTCGAACCACCGATGTATTTATGCAGTGCAGGGCAGCAAGCGGTGCCCAGGCATACAAAAGATGCCAATTCATT